TGAGCACAGGATCTTAGGGGCCACCCACGCTGCAAAAACCTTGCCAGCACCCCCCCACCAAGCCTCCACCATGCCTGCCACCGCCAGCCTCCTGGAGCGTCCGAACACAAGTTCTCAACGGCCACCCACCCTGCAAAAACCTTGCAGGCATGCCCACCACGCCTCAACCATGCCTGACACCGCCACCGCCAGCCTCCTGGAGCGTCTGAGCACCACCCTGCAAAAACCTTGCAGGCACCCCCCCACCACGCCTCCACCAATGTTGACACTGCCAACCTCCTGGAGCGTCTGAGCACAGGTTCTTAGGGGCCACCCGACCTGCAAAAAAACCTTGCCAGCACCTCCCCACACCACGCCTCCACCATGCCTGACACCGCCAGCCTCCTGGAGCGCCTGAGCACAGGTTTTTGGGGGCCACCCACCCTGCAAAAATCTGGCCCGCACCCCCCCACCACGCGTCCACCATGCCTGGCACCGCCAGCCTCCTGGAGACGCTGAGCACAAGTTCTTTGGGACCACCCACCCTGCAAAAACCTTGCTGGCACCCCCCCCCACCACGCCTCCACCATGCCTGACAGTCTGCCCACAGGTTCTTAGGGGCCAACCACCCAACAAAAACCACGCCTCCACCATGCCTGACACCGCCAGCCTCCTGGAGCGTCCGAAAACAGGATCTCAGGAGCCACCCACCATGCAAAAACCTTGCCGGTACCCCCCCACCACGCCTCCACCATGCCTGACACCGCCAGCCTCCTGGAGCGTCTGAGCACAAGTTCTTTGCGGCCACCCACCCTACAAGAACCTTGCCGGCCCCCCCCACCACGCCTCCACCATGCCTGACACCGCCAGCTCTGACGGGACACCCACTCTGAAAAAACCATGCAGGCACCTCCCCACCACGCCTCCTCCACCATGCCTGACACTGCCAGCCTCCTGGAGCGTCTGAGCACGGTTTCTTAGGGGCCACCCACCCTACAAAAAAAACACCATCACGCCTCCCCCATGCCTGACACCGGCAGCCTCCTGGAGCGTCTGAGCACAGGTTCTTAGGGGCCACCCGACCTGCAAAAACCTTGCCAGCACCCCCCCACCACGCCTCCACCATGCCTGACACCGCCAGCCTCCTGGAGCGTCTGAGCACAAGTTCTTCGGGGCCACCCACCCTGCAAAAACCTCGCCTGATGAGTACTACTTCAGCAGCCTTATCGTCATCACTCCCGACAACGCGGGAGAGAGGTGTCAGCGGGTCCGCCAGGTCTACCACAATCTGAACTTTTGTTAAGAGCATGAGTGGCTCAGGACATCTGACACGATGTGCATACATGTCTGGTTTGGTGACCAGCTTTCCACGAGATTGCAAGTACGGTTGGGATTCACGACGGAAGTCTCATCGCGATTTAGTTGACAAGATCGACAAGAAGTTGACCAGACTCGTGGAGTTCTGGTCGCGACGGTGCTCGCCGTGGCCCTCGTCCACCGCGATGAAGGAGGCCACGAAGCCGCAGGCCACCCGGCAGGCTGAATGTCCCAACATGCACTGGGTCGCCAAACGGTTTCGGAAGATATCGCGAGATGTTCGAGCTGGAGCAGCTGGAGTTATCGAGAACCACAGGAACTCCAGCATCCTGAAGGCTTCGCCACTCAAGACGATCGCGCAGCTCGGCAGGTATGGACACTTGGACCAGTGCCAGCTAGGAGCATACGATCCATCGACAGGAGTGGCAGTGAAGAAGCCGACCTTCCTCTACATGGTCAAGGTCAGCCTGGAACGAGTCTTGCTGAAACGTCAAGGCGACTCGAATTGCAATGAACACTCAGCACTTCAGGGCTCGTTTCCAGGCACCAGCATCAACAAGACAGCCGCAGCGGCTGTCTACCCTTGGCCGATGGTGACGGCCACCATTCACGACATCGACGACCACCTGAAGGTTGGAGTGATCAACCACGGCGATGAGTCGTCCATCTTCTACACACACAGACCTCTGAAGCTGCGAGAGGTGTCGACACGGATTGCACAAGAAACTGGCCGATGGCACCTCGGCCCCTACAACACCTCACACTCGAGGATCAGGATGCAGATTTGCACCAGGACGCGTGTTTGGAGTACCTCCTAAAGGCGTGCCTGATCAAGATGGTGCGCCCGCGGCCCCTCCAGGGCCACACCCTCCAGTGCCTAACCTGCAGCCAGCAGCGGGCTCAGGAGGAGCCGCAGCCGCAGCCGCAGCTGCAGCTGCAGCAGCCGAGCCGCCAGAGCCGCCTGCTCCGGCAGAGCCGCCAGCGCCACCAGCGCCGGCAGAACCAGCTGCCCCAGCTGCAGCACCCGCTGAGCCTGCAGCACCTGCAGCAGCAGCAGCCGCAGCACCAGCCGATCCTGACGAGCCGCCTCCCGAGGCGGTGGCTCCACCTACATACATCGAGCCCAGCTTCGACCTCAAGGCCGCCAAGAAGGTGCTTCGGGATCCGAATGCACCCACCAAGGAGAAGATGGCCATCATCATGGGCATCCATGTGAAGTTTTGGCATGCCGCGGCCATGGAACGCAAGAAGATGCTCTATCGAGCGGGCCATGGCAAGGATATCATCGATCTGGTGGACAGCGTTGTCGACAGCTGCAAGGAGTGTGCGACCTGGAAGCGGAGGCTCACGCGCCCGCAGTTGAAGGCTGGATTGTCTGAACACCTCAGCTACAGGGTCCAGACGGACCTCTTCTTCATCTTGGTTGACGAGTACATCCGCTGGGGTTTGGTCGAGGAGCTTCCTCGCAAGACCGCTGATGAGTGGATGTCTGTGGTTTTCAAGAGCTGGATCAGGTATTTCGGCCCAATGGTCTTTTTGGTTACCGACCAGGAGGGCGCCATCACGAGTGACCTCGTCGGCAAGGGCTGCGAGAAGTTTGGAATCACTCGAGACTTCGGTGGCTCAGGCCACACGGCAGCTCCCATCGCCGAGAGAAGGATCGAGATCGCGCGGACAGGAGCCCAGAAGCTTTGGGCCACGTTCCAGAAGTCAAGTCTCAACACGACGCAGGGCCAGGTGGCAAGCGAGGTGGCCATGTCCAGCAACAGCATGCTGAGCTACAACGGCCACACGCCCATACAGGCACTGCTGGTTACCAGCCTCGCGAGCTCCGCGACCCCGAGATAGGCACGCTCTCCGCGGCCGCCGGGGCGCTTGAGACAGCGCCAGACGCCATCGAGGTGGCCATCCGCCTCCGCGTGATTGCCGAGGAGGCGAGTCTGCAAAGTATCGTGGAGCATCGGCTCGCCGTGGCGCAAAACACCAAGACGCACAAGTTTAAGGCCGAGGACCGCGCCAAGCTGGTCGACGGTGCGAAGGCAGACCTCTGGCACGAGCCAGACAGCAAGGACGATCCTGGATGACGTGGACCATGCGAGGTGATCAAGGTATCCCGGGACGGCTCCAAGGCAGCGGTCGACTGGAGAGGCCACATCATGCTGGTGCCCATCAGGCGTCTTCGGCCTCACGTCGGCTTCGTCTGGCTCCCCAACCGCAAGAGTCAGCGTAGCCAGGTGCGCGCCGTCCAGCATGAGTTCAATAACACAGTCAAGCAGATGATGGAGATCGTGGAGTAAGGAGCTGGCCTGCTCTACTCGAGCGCCTGGTCTACTCTATCGTCTAGTAGCGTGACTACGTCATTGTACCGCCCGACCTGGAGCCCAATCCGCCGCCGCTCTGGGCGCCGGCACAACAGGTGTTCAGCGGCGTACTCAACGGCACGAAGTTCGACGGCATCCAGTTCGGCAACAAGTGCAAGAGGACCAGTACGGTCCTGGCAGCACAGCGCGGTCAGCTCATTACATGGAACAACAGTAGGAGGGAAAACTACATGATCAGGGACATGGTTCCCGACAAGGTTTTGCCTGTTTCATTCTCAGGCCCCTGGAAGGACGAGAGCTCCCTACTCTACTTCAGCTACAGCTCGCCGAACGAGGAGATTGAGGATACGCCCGAGGTGGACCTCAGCGGCATCGGAGGCCCATCTCCGACTCCATGGATTCCATCTCCATGGACCTCATTCGGTGGATCATGGATGGAGGCTGAGGACGATAACGACAAGTGGCCAGCAGGAGGTCAGCATCCTCTACGGCCTACACAGCCTCTGCAGCATCCGCAGTTAAGGGCAGCACAGTAACCTCAGGTTCCACCAACAGAGCAGCCTCGACATGTTCCGCTGCCCAAGCAGGCAGCAGCTCCCGCAGCGTCAGCAGCTCAGCCGCCGCCTCCTCCTCCATCAGGTGGTGCAGAGGCTGTGCTCAAGACACCACCGCAGGCGAGACGCAGGCCACTCTCGCCAGATACCTCATTCGACGTTACTCCAGAGATTGCAGCTGGCGAAGCAGCCGCACCATCGCCGCCTGGACCAGGCGGGGCAAGCCTCAAGGCGCCTTCGACGGCGCCCACAGGCTTCAGACCGCGCGTCGGACCCACAGCGATCGATCCTGATGACCAAGCAGACATAGACATTATTAGAGTATCAGATACCTAAGCAAGTTCTCATCAGTCTAAAGATCAGTCAAGGTCGAGAGTTCATGAACGAGATCCAGCACCAAGAGCGACGACGCCGGCCCGACCACCTCCCTCTTGGAAGACGGTGTCGTTGCCCAGCTCGCCCGTGGCACCACCATCGCCACCTGTGGCAAAGGCACCATCGGCGCCTCTGACGCCGTCGGCAGCGAGGGCTCCAGTGCCAGCAGGAACTCCAACAAGCCAGGAGGACACGCTCGACTACGGGACCACGAACGATCCGACGATCGACTACGGCGAACCTGCAGGACCTCGTCTACCTCCAGTACCAGTCATGCCATTACAAGTCCCAGACATGCCGCGAGAAGAAGGACCGTCGCCTACTACATCAGATCTGGATAGGTCTCGCACCAGAGACTCTGGACCTGCTCCAGATCCACGAGCCCATCAAGATCGTGAAGTACGACAGGAAACACTACGACATTGAGTACCTGTTTCACCCGTGAAACCAAGATCTCAATCCTAGAAACGAAACGCTCAGCATGACCTCTCAGGCGAACGAGTTGCACCAAGAGCTCGAGTATCGTCACCACCAGCACCGCTGGTTCCGTCAACATCGTCAGCTCCAGCAGCATCGGAGCCTATATTGCCAACTACCGAGCCAACTGACAATGACGTGACAGTCGACGACGGAAATGAGGACACTATCGACTATGGCCCAGCAAGCAGTGACAAGGTCGACCTCACTGCGCAGGAGAAGCTGTGGGTTGACGCTGATCATGCTGAACATCGGCTGCGACAGCCATTTCGCAGAGTGGCATCGGTAGGCTTCAAGCCACACCACGATGAGGAGTATTTCACTCACGCCATCGCCAATGCTGAGCAGATATTACACTTCAGTCAGCAGGTCGAGCGAGGCGAGTTACCCTGGACCGCGGACGATGCGTTCGCTGTACCTACAGGGCCTGTGAGTCAGCCTTTGTGTTTCTTCTACGACTTACGTGCGTACGAGTGCCTCTCGGTTTCATCAGATACCTGCTCACGCCTGAGGAAGTGATCGACAAATGTGACGCCGTGGAGGTCGGCGACTACGAGGAGGCCGTCTCGCTCTACAGTCACGATGTTTTCGAGCTTGACAAGACGTCCAATGCCAGCAATGTTGTGGACGGAATCTGGGTCCGCAAGTGGAAGAACAGGCAGAAGCGAATCGTAAAGTCCAGGTGCTGTGGTCGTGGCTTGCTGGATCGCCAGAAGACATCAGTGAGCCGACACTCCTCAACGGCCTCACGTTTGAGTCATCGGCTCCTGTGCTCAATGGCCATGCAGCTCAATCTGATACTGGATAGGTTTGACACCTCAACTGCTTTCCTACAAGGACTGAAGTTCTCGGAGGTGGCTACTAAGGCCAAGGAGCTAGGTCATGAGTTCAAAGAGGCGCGTCAAGTATGGTTTCGCCCGCCGGCGAACATCTGGAGACACTGGAGGAGCATTCCACACAGCAAGATGATTGTGATGGATGGCGACATCTCACTGTTCATTCTGAAGTGCCTCAAAGCGCTGTACGGTTTGGTCGATGCTCCTCTGTTGTGGCAGCTTGTTTTGCTTCGCTACTTGAAGGTTGATATCGGCTGTGCACCCACGACGAGTGCTTTCTGATGATCACAAATGAGTGGCAGGTGGTATCGCTGTGTACCATACACGTGGATGATCTATTACTGGCGGCGACGAAGGAGTTCCTCGACCACATCGCGAGGAAGCTCGGCAAGAAGTTTGGCGATCACAAGAGGACAGAGCTGCCCTTCGTCTACCTGGGCATGAAGGACGAGTTGCTTGATCCAGGTCACCTGCTGGTTCATCAACAGCACTACCTCGAGAAGCTGCCGGAGGCCAAGTTCACAAGCAGCCACAACATCAAGAAGGACTTTCAGGAGCTTGACGAGTTCGAGCACCATCAGTTCAGATCGTTGGTATGCAGTCTACTCTGGCTGTGCCTTGCGAGGGTTGACATCGCACACGACGTCGTCTCATTGCAGTCGGAGATGGTGCACCCACAGGTGCAGCACCTGAAGGCTGCCAACCGAGTCCTGGCCAAGGCGCGCAAGACGAAGGACATGAATGGTCTACACTATCGTCGTGTTGATTTCCCATTGGGACTTTGCAGCATCCATGACTGTGGTCATGCCAACAAGAAAAGCTGTTATCCTTACGAAGGCAAGTTTGTCATGATGATGAACGACTCCATTAAGATTGCCACATCCGAGCGGATCACAGGCCAAATGTTGTCACGAGTTGGAGGCTACGCTCATACGCTTGTCTTCAGTGCTCGCAAGGCCCCAAGGGTTTCTCATTCCACGTCACATGCAGAGACACTGTCAGCAATCGGACGTACTCAGACGGGAGAGCTACGGCACATGACATGCTGCAGTTGAGCCAATCGGCCATGACAGTCATTCCTCATGATACAGTTACCGACTGTATGGACCTCTTCGAGCTGATCACTGGCGGCCGTGGTATACTGCCAGGCAAGTCACAGAGAGTTGCAATCATGACCCTACACGAGGATAGAGTTTACCATCGTATACGCTCACTTCTACATGTTCCGACCAGGGTGGTGTTGGCAGATGGTTCGACAAAGGAGGGCTGGTTCGATCAGCTGTTGATCTACTGCACCACGGGCAAGTGGAAGGTCATCCTCGTCGATGGCCAGGCGGTGCGACACAAGAGAGGGACACTACACCCGGCAGCCAGTAAGAAGGAGATCGAGAACCTCCAGAGCTAGCTGGATTACGACATCAACTACGACAAGCGCTGCTGTCGTGGGCGATTACCCGCGAGATACTGATGGGCACGGTGTGCCGTGATGAGGGGAAACGAGCGTTTGCTTGTGCGTTTGCTGCTCCTCACTCGTCCTAACCTTCAGTTTCCTCGATAAAGCTCGAAAGCGCAGGAGTCCCATTGTAGCCTTAGCAAGCCAGCCTGAAGTTAGAAAAGCATAGCTGCACGTCAGACTGTAAA